ATCTATCTATCTATCTATCTATCTATCTATCTATCTATCTATCTATCTATCTATCTATCTATCTATCTATCTATCTATCTATCTATCTATCTATCTATCTATCTATCTATCTATCTATCGAATTAAGGAAGGTATAAATGGGAAATTAGAAGATATAAATTGGAGCATTAGCAACTCAGTTAGAATGGGGTGCTTATGGATTTCCCCCCTATCTTATTTTCTCTCTCATACACGCACACACACTTCTTCACTTTGCTTGCCTGCCTGCCGATGATCTATCTATCTATCTATCTATCTATCTATCTATCTATCTATCTATCTATCTATCTATCTATCTATCTATCTATCTATCTATCTATCTATCTGTCTGTCTGTCTGTCTGTCTGTCTGTCTGTCTATTGATTTGATTTGTACCCCGCCTATCTGGACTACCAGACCACTCTAGGCTATTTATCAGACATGAAAGAAACAATGGTGTCTGAAGAAGTGTAACAAAATGCTGAAGGCAATTTCCCTTGGAAAGCCACTTAACCTCAGTATGGAGCACCAGCATCTGGAAGTCTTCACTACTTTCTTCACATAGCTGCCAGAAAAGAAAATACTGAAGGATGTGGGATTTGATAACGTTTATTGCCTTTATAACAACTGAAAGCAAAATATTAAGATGTCCTCCCAAGTTCTTTGATACCAAGTGCTCCCTGTGAATGATGTAAAGACGGAAGGTGTAACTCTTGTTAGATTAATCTTCTGTATTGACCAACCATAGAAGCAGCACCTTCAGTTGCACAAGCAATTATATACTCAATGGGAGTATTGTTCTCACTTAAGTAACTTTCAACTTCTTCAGAAATAGACAGTCCCTTAATATCTGTTTTAATTTTCCCAGCAAACAACATCTCTTCCATCAGTTCATTACCATTCCAGAATCTCACTTAAGCTACGAGAAGAGTGTCATTAATTTGTAAAACAGTTTCATCTAATTGTAAAAAGGATTTCTTAGATTGGACTAATCTGACCAAGTCCTCTTTAATGTCATGTGCCATCTCATTGATTCTTCTGGCAACAGTGGAGTTACTCAAAGGAACTGCCTGAATTATTATTTTTTTTGGCACTCAAATTCATGACATCAGATATTATGGACATTGAAAGCAGGATAAGTGACTTACCAATGTTGTGAGCATTTCCAGTTTTAGTAATCTGTTTACTAATTTTGTATGATGCAACAAGATCCTTGTCTATTTTCTGTGATGTTTGAGTATGAATTTGTCTCAGTGTTGGCCTTCTTTCAAAATTCTCTCGAAGATTTTTAAAGAAATCCAAGGGTTTATTTTTCTTATCTGGATGCAAGGTATCCAAATGTTTGGGTTTTTCCCCTTAAATTTGCTTGGCCTCATGCTTTGAAAATGTAGTGATACAGTTCAAACACACACACACACTACACAGAGAAGCAGCCGGCAACCGATTTGCTGCATTCATGGCTGGCTTCCAATAAAAACAGGCATGGTGCCTGCATCAGCAATCACTGGTGAGGCAGCTGGCAGAACTGCCTCAGCAGGTTAGACTGCAATCATGGCTGGCTTCCAATGAAAAACAAGCAGGATGCCTGTGTCAGCAATTGCTGGGGAGGTAGTAGACCGAGTTTCTTCAATTAGGTTGCAGTCATGGTTGGAGTCTAATAAAAAACAGGCCTGGTGACTGACCTCCAATGAAAAAAAGACAGGATGCCTGCATCAGCGATCACTGGGGAGATAGCAGGCAGAATTGCCTCTGTTCTATTTTAAGAAAGTCATGAAAACAGCAGAGAGCCTGTCCAGGTTCATGCTGTTTAGAAGAGGTAATACCAGCCATTAATCATGAAAAAAATGAGTGGGAGGAAAGTTGCTTTTCAAGGCAATGTTCCTGGCACATGGACCTCCCTCCATGTCCAGGCACACCCACTCTGTGACTGTTCTGTGCCCACTGCTCTGCTGCTCTCCCAGCTCCTTCACTGACCAAATGGAGAGAATGGGCTAGGTTTGCTGTAATGCTAAAAGTACTGATGAACTGATGCAGCAGTAAACATTTTAAGAAAGAATTTTAACAAAAATTAAAAGGAAAAATGGTGGAGCCCCAGCCACCCAAAATCCACACAGGCACAAACTAAAATGACAGCAACTTTCACATCCACAATATCACATTGAACTTAATTAATCTTACAAGTGAGGTATTTTGAAAATCCCCTGCTGGCCAGTTGAAAACAACTTTGTTTGCAGTCCATATAAATCATGTGAATGATAAAATGTAAATTTAAATGATGCTTAAATGTGTTTCTTATTGCCAGTGTAAACACAGCCTGAATTAGTTTTACAGAGGGAGCAAGCTCTCTGCAAGCTCTTGGAACATGTCTCAGAGACTTACATTTATCTTCTCGACAACAAATGCATACTGAGAAAAGATGTAATTTTTTTGTGACTGAAGCATACAAATAATAAAATATAATTTCATTATTATGCATTAAGGAGTTGTGATAAGTGAAACAGAGTGTTCAAAAATCCATTAGCAACTGTGCAATCCACCATATAGCCCTATTTGGTCATTCATTTAAAAGGTTCAGGCAACCATGTGATGATGGAAGTGGTTTTCCACACGATTAGAATATCTGGAAAAAAACAACGGGATTCTTAATCTGCATGGCGGTGCATCGTATGTAAAAGAAGCTATGCTCTTCAAACTGTATCTACACATGGAGAGCGAGAATGTTCAGCTTAATCCTTTCACTTGAACATCTAAACAGGTCTTAAGGTAGAACCTCTTCCAAAAACATTCACAGGTATGTGTATGCAGACGTCTAGGAGATCCACCAGTTACAACACTACGTGTTAAGAAAAAAAGGATTTATTGTGTCAACATAATTTCTAGCAAAACAATGGCATTTGTTTTTGTTTTGCAAATTTTGAGTGTGTGCTGAGATTGCTTTAAAAATGTAAGCACATAACAAGGAGAAAGCTTACCTATCACACTTTTGGCAAAGGAAGCTCTCTTGAGAGTTGCCAGACCTAAGTCTCCTATCTTCACAGATCCAGTTGGTCCAGTTATAAAAATATTGTCACATTTTAAGTCTCTGTGAATAATTGGTGGAGTTCTGGTGTGCAGAAAATGGAGACCCTTCAGGATTTGCCGACACCAGCTACGAAGGACTTTGGGTTTCATCACTTTAAATCTCTTTAGATACCTTAGAGAAAGTAATAATAAACGTTGCATGCAAAATTCTAGACAAAACAGTACTGACATTAAACTCTGAATAACCGAGAATTGTATGCTTTGATGAAAGAATATATTTGCATCAACCTTGTTTGAGATATAGGATGCTAATCACAACACAATTATCAGTTGTAAATTTTATTACATCAAAGGCAACTCATTCACACACTATATTCCTTTAAATTCTAAGACAACAGTACTATGTATTAGAACACAGCTGTGCGTTCATATAATGAGGTGAAATATCTGAATATTTTCATGGGCAGGTGAAAAGTCTGTTCTGCTAATGCCATTATCAAGTTTAACAAGATTATCAGCAGCATAAACTGTTAATTAGTATGATTCAGATTAATAAAACATGTCAGTTCATTTTTGATGAGCCAATGCTTGCACCCCTCCTCTCTCATCAACGGAGAATTATTTTATTGTGGCTCAATAAAAGACTGAATGAAAGATGAACAAATAGATTCAAAGTGCTATGTGCAAAACATGAGGGGGAAGAGGAAATAAGGGCAGAACTGCTGTTGGTTATATAATAGAACAAGACTAGGAAACAATAAGAATGAAATTCAGTCTTCAATTAAGTTCTAACACAGACAATCTATTATAACAGAAAAGACTTTGGGTCTTAATAACTGAAACATGCCAGATGAAACAAGCAAATTGTCCAAATTAGGGATGGGCTTTTCATGGCTAAATGAAGAATCCAAAATGCTTTTGTGCATTTCATGTTCTTAGGGTGATTGTTGAAAGACAGCCCCTAAATCACAACTAACTCATATTTACAGAAGAAGGCTACACACATGTTTAGTGTTTCCTTCGTTTTTTCCTTTAGTGTCTGTGCAACGTCCTGGTGGCTTTTCACTATTTATCAGTCATTTGCCTGAGAAATTTTTCCTCCAATAGAATTGCGAAGACAGTCAGCAGCCAAGCAGAATGTCCTAGGGGGGCAGGGACTCTGAATCTATGAAAGGGCCTGGAACTCTCTAAAGATTGCTCTGTGTTTCAGTCCTTCCTTGTGGCATTGCTGTGTGCTGAGATCCTAGTGCCATCCACAACGGATTTCTGCCTTTCTACCTACTTGTTGTGCCTTCATCTTGGATGCTTTTTTTTGTCTCTTTTCCTTGATGTTTTTGGGAATATTTCCTGTTTGGGGGTGATTATTTTTGCTATTGCCAAGCAGCCTCCCAGTCCCAGTGTGCCCATTTGAGATTTTAAAAACATTTCCCCCTCTACTAATGTCTTTGGGACAGGAGGGGCAGGAGGGCCTGGCGTGCTCTGGTCCATGGGGTCACAAAGAGTCGGACAGGACTAAACAACAACAACGTCTCTGGGAGTTTCTTCCCTCTTTGGTTAAATCTGTTTTGTTTGGATCTGTTTTTTTTTTATCTTTTGCTTTCATGGATTATTTTATTTCTCCCTAGTTTGCCCACTGCTATCTGCATCAAGTGGTATGGGAAGAGAAATCTCTTCATATTCTAAGCAGCTCTGGTTGGGTTTTTTTGTTTTTGTCTTTATTTGCTTGCTTCTCTGGCTTTTTTTCACATTGATATTTTCCCCTTGCTTGTTATATCTAGCTTTTTGACTAGATTGGTTCTTTGTTGCCTTGCCTCTGCCTTGCCACCTTGTTTCTATGGTTCTTTAGGGCTTTTAGAGTGCCATAAAACACAGATGGGAAAAACCAAATGGGAAACCCAAAAGAGACTTTCCTTTTCATGTCACAAGAAAGGATCAGTGCACAATAAATAGGAAAACTAAAGAAAGGCATACATCCCTAAAAGAACCTGAAATGGAAGATACATGAGAATTTACAATGTGCACACCAGTAGCCTAAATAATGTCTCTGGTCTGCTAACTGTATAATCAATTACTTGCCGAATACTCACGTTTTCAGGGTTCCAGAGGTCATCAGTTCTGTAACCAACACAATACACTTCTTTCCTTTCAAACACGATTCCCAAAAGTCATAAAATCTAACAATGTTCGGGTGTTGAAGTCCTTTCAACATCTCTGCTTCCTCTTTAAACCTCTGTCTTTCCATTTTTGTTAGCTTTCGGTCCTGCAATACAGAAGATATTGTCTGTTAATAGTCACCAGTCCACAAATGAAAACTGATTTGAATCCCAAGATTTGTTTTGTTGGGAGAACTGCCTTCTGATGGAGTGGAATTGAAGGTTACCAATTTCGCCCGTATGTCCCCCTCTGCTTCCCACAAAAATCTGTTCTTGAAAGTCTGCTAACCATCTGGATTTCATTTTCAAGGTGCAGGTGAGTGTAGATGGAAGAAAATTCAGTAACATCTACTGGGCAAACTGAAGTATCTTTCATCTTGGATTTAAGTCACTACATTCATCATCTACAGTATATCTCAGATAAACAGATATTAGATGCAATATTTTGTAAAGATCACAATGATACCAGTTTAACATGTATTGAAAGCATGCAGATTGCTAATTTAATCATAATCAGCACAGCTGTACCACAACTAAATGTCAAGATAATGATTTTTAATAATAAAACAAGCATTGGATAATATTTTCATATTCTAACTAGAGATGAGGACGAAACGCCAAAGTGGCACTTGGTTTTGGTTTGTGGGTCATCAACTTTATTTATTTATTTATTTATTTTTTTGGTTTTTGTTTGTTAGTCATCAACCTTATTTATTTATTTATTTATCGCATTTATATGCCACCCATCTAGACATAGTCTACTGACAGAATAAACAGATACATAATATCCCCAAATAATAAATAACAAATACAATCACACCCTAATCATATACACGGGTCATAAAAATTAACATTGAATTTTGCCATAGGCCTCCCTAAACAATTCTTCTTTAGTACTCTTCTGAAATACTGTAGGGAAGAGGCCTATGGAGACAATTAAAAGAGACAATTCTATAATCTCTGGTTGTCACAGCTTTTTAGACCTCCTGTAGCTTGCAAGTCAACTTTCTTTCTTTTCTTACTGGCCTTCTAACATAAGCACAAGAGTTCATTTGCAAGTATGACTACTCATTCATGAAGGTCTGCTTGAGTCACATCTCTGGAACACAAGCAGTTTCCAGCTTCTAATGACAGACTCTCAAAGTAAAAATAATGGTTGTTGTGGGTTTTTCGGGCTCTTTGGCCGTGTTCTGAAGGTTGTTCTTCCTAACGTTTAGCCAGTCTCTGTGGCCGGCATCTTCCGAGGACAGCACAGAGAGGCCGGCCACAGAGACTGGCGAAATGTTAGGAAGAACAACCTTCAGAACATGGCCAAAGAGCCTGAAAAACCCACAACAACCATTAGATCCCGGCCGTGAAAGCCTTCACGAATATAAAGTAAAAATACTTTGATATTTAAAACTTGATCACCAAATAGCCCACATAATTTCCAACATCAGAAATTACTCTTCTAAACTAGTTGTAAACTAACTCCACCTCACTACATCACTGTCTATGCAGGAATAAGTAGAGTTGTATAACAGGCATATTTTAAAATTTTTGACAGATAAATGAGGAACATTAAAAGTTATTGTTGTTTAGTCGTTAAGTCCTGTCCAACTTTTGGTAACCCCATGGACCAGAGCATGCCAGACCCTCCTGTCTTCCACTGCCTCCCGGAGTTGGATCAAATTCATGTTGGTAGCTTCGATGACACTGTCCAACCATCTCGTCCTCTGTCATCCCCTTCTCCTCTTGCCTTCACATTTTCCCAACATCAGGGTCTTTTCCAGGGAGTCTTCTCTTCTCAAGAGATGGCCAAGGTATTGGAGCCTCAGCTTCAGGATCAGTGCTCCCAGCGATTATTTATTTAGACTTAGATACCGCCCATCTAGAACGGGTCTACTGTAGGCAGTTTACATATAATATAAAAAATAAACTAAGATAAAATCCAGATTAATCCAAGATGGGAAAGGAAAAAATAAAGAAGGGAAAAAAGAAGAGGAAGAAGAAGGAGATAAAAGAAAAAGAAGAGGGAGAAAGGCTAGGTAATGGCTGTAGGGAAGGCCTGGCTGTATAGCCATGTCTTCAAGTTAGTCTTGAAGGCCCTCAGCGTGGGAGCCAGGTGTATCTTAGCAGGTAAGTTGTTCCAAAGCTGAGGGGCCACTGCTGAGAAGGCCCGACTTCTGTTTTTTCCCCACCAGGCCTTTCTTTGTGTTAGGCCTCTCAGCTGCCCAGCGTGACTGGAGTGGGTGATACAGGTAGAACTGGGCAGAAGAAGGCGTTCTGTCAGGAATCGAGGTCCTAAACCATTAAGGACTTTATATTTATTTATTTATGTAATGGTTAACATCTTGAAATCAATGTGGAAGTGGATAAGTAGCCAATGTAAGGCGGCCAGAGTAGGGAAAATATGGTGAAATCTTTTCACCTCTGTTAATAACCTGGCCGCCGTGTTCTGGACCATCTGAAGCTTCCGCATCAGTCCCAAAGGAAGCCCCATATAGAGTGTTGCAGTAGTCTATTCTTGAGACTCGAGAGTGTTACAGTAATCTATACTTGAAACTACAAGCAAATGGACCAGTGTGGTGAGCACCCCTGTGTCTAGATAGACGATCCACCAAAGATGTAAGTGGGCAGACTGAACCACAGACGCTACCTGGGTGTCCATGGTAAGCGCCAGGTCTAGATAGACCTCCAGACTATGAACCAAATTCTTTGTGGTGAGAGTGACCCCCACAAAAGAGAGGGAGTTCCCCAAACCACTGACATCAGGCCCTCCGTCTTGCCTGGATTCAACCTTAGTCCATTCGAATGTATCCATTACAGAAGGGCCTGCAGGCAGCACCCAAGGGATGGAATGACATCCACTCGCTCCACTCTTTGAATACGGCCCTCCAAGAAGGCCCGGAGCGAAGTGAGAGCAAGGCCACCAATCCCCAACTCGCAGCACTGGAAAGGCATCCACTGCAGATGGAAAAAATGATATATATAGCTGGGTATCATCAGCATATTGGTGACACGAAGCTCCACATCCCCAGATGACCTCTCCCAACCGCCTCATTAGATGTTAAACAGCATTGGGGAGATGATTGAACCCTGCGGAATCCCCCCAATTGAGGGACCATGGAGCCGATACATTCTCCCCAAGCTCCAGTCTTTGAATACGGCCCTCCAAGAAGGCCCAGAGCGAAGTGAGAGCAAGGCCAGCAATCCCCAACTCAGAGAGCCTCCCCAGGAGGATACCTTGGTTGACGGTATCAAAGGCGACTGAGTGGTCCTGAGTTGGCTAGATAGGCGGGATATAAATTAAATAAATAAATAAATATCAAGGAAGACAAGCAAGGACATTTTGCCCCTGTTGGCCTCCCTAAGTAGGTCATCAAGCAGGTGACCAATGCTGTTTCCGTGCTGTGGCATGGCCTGAAGCCCGACTGAAATGATCCAGGCCATCGGTTTCATCCAAGAGAACCTGAAGTTGGCCGGCCACCACCCTCTCAACTACCTTGCTGAGAAAAGAAACATTGGCAACGGGCCTATAGTTGCCAATGTTGTCCGCTGACAAGCTTGTTTTCTTTCTAATGGGTTTAATGAGCGTTTCCCTTACCCTCAAGAAGAGACCCATTTATTATTTCAATGGCTCACTCAGTTATCACCGGCCTGGTAGCTTTGATTAGCCAGGCCAGGCAATGGTCAAGGGAGGAGGAGGTGGCTCGGCAGCGATCAAGGGCCCTGTCCACCTCTGAGGACATCACAGGTGGAAACTGAGTAATTCTCAATGGACAATGCACTGCGCTGGACGTCTCAGCTTGATCCACAGTTTTCAAATAGGGTGCGATATCCCGGCAGATGGCCTCCACTTTTGATTGGTCACAAAAATGCTAGATGGAGGCCAATCATTGTGGCCAATTCTGGATAGGTCGCATACTATATGGAAAAGTTCCGCCTGCTGATTGGATGCTTTGCTTATCCTACAGCAAAGCAGGTTTTCCTAGCAACCTCTACCTTAACAAGATAAGAGGTTAGACACAACCTTGGCAGCTTTTAAGTTATTTTCCATCAGGTTCCACCTCCAAATGCTCTCTAGCCTTCTCCTATTCTGTTTCATAGACATCAGCTGCTGGTTAAACTAAGATGCTGGATGGGCTCTGTGGCGGAGAGGGCGTTTAGGACCGATCATGTCTCTAACCATGCCGACGGCAGCATACCAGCTATCCACCAGGGCCTCGACAGAAGCGCCAGCCAGGTCAATCGGAATCCCACACATGGCATCCTGGAATCCAATAGGATCCAGTAGTCTGCGAGGGTGGACCATGAAAATAGGTATCTGCTGCCCATGGGGAGGGAGGGCTATTGTGAAATTGCACTTTATCAGGTGGTGGTCCAGCCAGGACAAGGGGACCGAAGGTCAGTCACCATCGGGCCACACTCTCTCTGCTCAGTGGAGAAAACCAGGTCCAAAGTGTGGCCACCCACATGTGTGGGTCCGTTATCATGTTGGGACATGTCCAAGGAAGCCATGGTTTCCAAGAACTCAAGAGCCGGATCGCGTCCACATGGATGTTCAAATTGCCCAAGACAGCATCCACATGGATGTTCAAATTGCCCAAGACAATCAGTCTTGGGGATCCCAATGGAGCTGCGGAGACGAAGTCGGTTAGCTCTGGTATGGAGGTGGCTAGATTGCAGGGAGCATGGGATACCAGCAAAATCCCAATACCATCCCTGGCCCCAATCAACATGTGGAGAGCCTCTAGGCCTGGCATCACCACGGCAGAGAGCCTGACAACCTCAAAGGTGTCCTTATAAACAATGGCAACTCCCACACTCCGACCCTCCGGTCTACCCTGGTGTTGGACAGCATGACCAGGGGGACAGGCCAGAGAGAGGGGTACATCTCCTTTACTACACATCCACATCTCGGTTATGCCAGCCAGATCTGCATCCTTTTCCAGAATAAGATCTTTTATTAGCTGGGTTTTATTGGATACAGACCTGCCATTCAACAGCACCAAAGTTAGAGTGGAGGGGCCAACTGAACTGGCTACCTCGAGCCTGGTAGGTGATAGCAGCACCAGAACAATGGACAGTTTTCAGGCATCTGTTCACCGTTCTTCTGGAATGACTA